ATTATACCATTTCTAGTACAAAGGGACTTAAAACATGTACTAGCACTCATACCATTTACCATAACTCATATGATGCATATTACCACCAACCATTAGTTCGTCACATATATAAGGAGTACCCAACTCAATCCGACTATCATTTCGGCCATCCACACACCCCTCCCTCAATGATAACTTGTTGAACGGTATATACATCGGCTTTATAATTCGTAATATATTTCAAAAAAAATCACAGCCCCTTTTTCTTCTACTCTTCCTCTTTAACCATATTCTATTATCATTTATTCTGCTCTTTAATCACAAATATACTTCCCTATTCCTTTTTTATTCTGTTTCTCTTGTTGTAACTAAATTGTTTCACTTATGATGTCCAACTTCCCTCCCATAATGACAAACCTCCATTTCTGCAATTACCCCCTCTGTATACACCAGTATATATATATATTCTATTATTCTCCTTTGTCTCTAATTTTTATTTCTGTTGTAGAATTTTCAGGACCTTGTACGTATTCTGTAACACCCTGCCTATCACTATGTTAAAATGAATTAAAAACTCTATTTATTCGGATCTTTGGCCGCCTTAAACTTAATTAATTTACGTTGTTTAATATTTCTCATGATTCATGATTTTAATTTATTTTTATAGATTTTTATTTAAATTTTAATTTATTATCTTATGTATTTTAAAATTATTCTATTTTGTTTAAATTAAAAAGAAAATTTAGAAAAAAAATTGAAAAATGGCGAAACGAGAGAGAACTTGCTCGCAGGAAAAATCCTGCGAGAAGGAAGTTTGCACGCGCGGGTGTTGGGCACTGTGCAAGTGCATTTGCTCATATAGTGGCCACAAAGCGTACACACAGCGCACACGTCCCGTCCGCACGCACGCATGCACGGGACGTTCATGCAGCGTGCACGTCCCATCTGCGTGCACGGCACGAGGTTAGAACCTGCGCGTGCATCCTATCGCGCGCAGGTGGGCCATCTGTGCGTCACTTCGCACACGGACTGACAACGCAAACTGTGCGAGCACTGTCTGCGTAGGATGCCTGCGCGGACAGGCCTTGTGCATCTAAGGCTTGCACGCACGGCAACAGGCCTGTGCGTCTGCAGCGCGCCCGCTGGGCACTGCCACCTCAGGTAGTGCGTTGCCGCTGCCTTGGGCAGTGCACCGCCGCCGCCGGTGGAGGAAATCTTCTTCCCTCGTTTTCGTGCCAATAATCTTTTTTCTCCTCTCTCTTCATCAGATTTTTCCATTTGGCGCGAATCCAATGCTTTCAAACTTCTATAAATTGCCCTTCTCCTTCCTTTCCTCTCTACACTTCCATTTCTTCCATTTTTCAAAGGTTTAAAGAGAGAGAGAGAGAGATAGTAAATTGTAAGAGAAGAAGCAAAAGAAAGGAAAATGGTGAAGAAGAAAATATCGAGATTTGGGTAAGGAGTCTAGTATTGCTTTTGACGTCTTAAGGACTATTGTTAGATAAGTAAACTTAATATGATTGTTATTTTGTCTGTTTTGTATGCCTCCGTGTTCAAATGAGTTGAATTATTCTAATTTTCAAGTATGTTGTGTGAATTAGTGACACTTGATGAATTTGTATGTAATATATGTAATATGTAGCCGTAATAGTAAAAGTAAAAAGAAAAAAAATGAGAAAAGTGGAATGAAGCTTGTATGGTCCGAAGCATATATGTATTGACATGCATATTACATCAAGTGTCTCGTTAAGTTTTTTATCTTTGAGGGATATCTGTTCCCCTTTCTCTTTGGGGTATCTGTTTCTCCCTCCCCTATCTTATCTATAAAGACATAAGAGAACCGCTCCCAGTGGATAATGGTGTGCTCTCTAACGATAGTGGTATCGCACTATCTGTAGGAGTCACCTATGGTTAAGTAATCTCGTGACTATAAATATCTGTTAGGGTCATTATGATTGGGACGGCCGTGGTCATAGATCGCACTATGGTTTGGCCAGCAGGAAGTAGGCCTGAGCAAATTGTCGTATCTGTATCTGATCTGGTCATTCTGCTTGGGTAGTTAGAAATCTGTATCTGCTCTCAGAGATGGAAGTTTGTAACGATTTCGTAAAACACACGAAAAATCTGTGCATACCATAATTTATTTGATTTTCTCTATTATTTAGCATGATATATATATTTAATTTTCTGAGCTAACATACTATTTTCATATTCAAATAAGTAGTTTTCATAATGATGAGTTAGGTGAACGAGGAAGCTAAATGGTAACATAAAATAATAAACTTTTGAAATCTCACGATGTTAATTTAATATTATTTTTCTTACTGAGCATATGGAACTCACTCTTTTCATTCCCCCCAGATGAGGAATAAAATGATGAACTGCAAATAGACCTACCCTTGGAAGTCTATGAGGATCTCGTGGATCCATAAGTCTGAGTGCATGACTGTTCTCGCACTCTTATGAATTCCAGTAGCATAGTGAAAGAAGTGGCCCTTATGTTTTATATTTTGTACCCACTTCTGGTCTCAACGATGTATGTATTTAGAACATTATATATATATTTCTAAGGGATTTGTTAAGATTTAATTTTGCTGCATAAATATTATCATACACTCATTATTCTAAATCTGTATTTGATACTCATTTGTCTTAATTGATGCATGCGGATTTATGTGGACCAATGAATACCGACTCATTTGGTGGGAGTCGGTATTTTTTATTGTTGATTGATGATTACAGCCGTATGAATTAGGTTTACTTTCTTAGATCTAAGTCTGAAGCTCTTGTTAGTTTCATAAAATTTAAGGCCTTGGTAGAAAATCATATTGGCAGTCGCATCAAGTGTCTTCATACTGACAGAGGAGGTGAGTTTATTTCTACTGAATTTAATATTTTTTGTGAAGAATGTGACATTCGCAGACAGCTTACTGCACCATATACATCATAGCAAAATGGTGTTGTTGAACAGAAGAATCGAACTGTGGTGAACATGGCTAGAAGTTTGTTAAAAGCCAAAGGTCTCTCAAATTCCTTTTGGGTTGAAGTAGTTATAGCAATAGTATATATTTTGAATATCTCTCCAACAAGGGTTGTTATGAACAAAACTCCATATGAAGCATGGAATGGAAGGAAACCACATGTAAGTCACTTAAAATTTTTTGGTTGGATAGCCTATGCTTTAATTAATTCTCAAATTTGCTGTAAACTTGATGAGAAAACTACAAAATATATTTTGTGGTATAGCTCTCAATCAAAAGCATATAGGCTATACAACCATTTAAGTGGCAAAATTATTATTAGCAGAAATGTAGTCTTTAATGAGGAAGTAGAATGGGATTGGGGAAGTGTTCAAAAACATGATCAAATGCCAATTGTAGAAGATATTGTTGTTGATTCTTCATCTTCAAATTCAGCAAGTTCATCTCCCACAGTCAACTCAAATTCTTCAAGTCCAGTCAGCTCAATTTCCTTAAGTCCAGTCAACTCTAACTCCTCCTCATCAAGTGAAACTCCTCCCAGGAAATTCAGGTCCTTGAGGGAAATTTATGCATCTGTTTCTTTTATTTTGTGTGTTTTAGATCCAGAATTTTATGATGAAGCTGCACAAGTACAAGAATGGTGCAATGCTATGAATGAAGAGATTGCTGCAATCCAAAAAAATCAGACCTGGGAATTGGTTGATTTACCTAAAGGAAAACACGTTATCGGACTTAAATGGGTGTTTAAAACTAAGTACCAAGTGGATGGAAGTATATAAAAGCAAAAAGCTCGACTTGTAGAAAAGGGATATGCTCAGCAACAAGGCGTTGATTTTGAAGAAATATTCTCACCGGTTGCTCACTTTGAAACAATAAGGGTATTGCTTGCTTTAGCTGCTCATTTATCTCTTCCTATTTTTTAGTTTGATGTGAAATCTGCTTTTTTAAATGAAAACTTGAAAGTAGAAGTTTATGTTTCTCAACCTGAAGGCTTTGTTGTAGCCAGCTATGAAAATAAAGTCTTTAATCTAAAGAAAGCATTGTATTGGCTTAAGCAAGCTCTGCGAGCATGGTATAATAAGATTGACAACTATTTTCGTGAAAATGAGTTTGAAAGAAGTGATAATGAGCCCATTTTATATTCAAAGAAAGAAGAAAAAGCTGATTTTCTTGTTATATGTCTCTATGTTGATGACATGATTTATTTCGGGTCAAGTGAATGTCTTTTTGTTGATTTTAAGTCCTCTATGATGCAAAAATTTGAAATGACATATTTGAACGTGTTGCAATATTTTCTTGGCCTTGAGATGAAACAGGAAGTAGATGGAATTTTTATTATGCAGCAAAAGTATGCAATTAATCTACTCAACAGGTTCAACATGGTGAGCTGAAACAAAACTTTTGCTCCAATGAATTCAAATGAAAAATAGTAAGTTGAAGATGACACAGGAAAGGCTAATGTAACCTATTTTCAAAAATAGGTTAAGCAAGCTCTGCGAGTATGGTATAGTAAGATTGACAACTATTTTCGTGAAAATGAGTTTGAAAGAAGTGATAATGAGCCCACTTTATATTCAAAGAAAGAAGAAAAAGCTGATTTTCTTGTTATATGTCTCTATGTTGATGACATGATTTATTTCAGGTCAAGTGAATGTCTTTTTGTTGATTTTATGTCCTCTATGATGCAAAAATTTGAAATGACATATTTGAGCGTGTTGCAATATTTTCTTGGGCTTGAGATGAAATAGAGAGTAGATGGAATTTTTATTATGCAGCAAAAGTATGCAATTAATCTATTCAATAGGTTCAACATGGTGAGCTGCAACAAAACTTCTGCTCCAATGAATTCAAATGAAAAATAGCAACCTGAAGATGACACAGGAAAGGCTAATGTAACCTATTTTCAAAAATTGACAGGTGGGTTAAATTATTTGACACACACTCAATCCGACATTGCATTTTTTGTTAGTATTTTGTCCAGGTTTATGCACAATCCAACAAAATATCACCTTGGAGCAGCTAAAAGAATCCTGTGATATGTTGCTGGAACTGCTAACTTTGGAATTCGGTACTCTAAAATATCAGATTTTAAATTATTTTATTATACCGATAGTGATTGGGCAGGTTCTTTGGATGATATAAGAAGTACATCAGGCTATAGTTTTAGCCTAGGTTCTGGAGCTATCTCTTGGAGCTCAAAAAAGCAGGATACTGCGGCATTATCATCTTCAGAGGTTGAATACATTGCTGCAACATCATCAGCTTGTCAAGCAGTATGGCTTAGAAGAATTCTTGTTGATTTGGGCCAAGAACAACTAGCAGCAACTACCATTTCTTTTTAACAATAAAGGTACGATTGCAATGACAAAAAATCCAGTTTTCCATGGCATAACGAAGCATATAGAAACGTGGCATCATTTCATTCGGAGACTGGTAACAAATGGAGAAATAGTACTGGAATTTTATGGTACAAATGATCAAGTTGCTCACTTATTTATAAAGTCTTTACCTCAGCTCAAACATGACTATTTTCGACGATAATTAGGCATATGTGATTTTGAATTAAGGGGTCATGTAGAAAATGATTAAAAATCAATTACTAAAAGTGAATGAAGATCAGACTCCTTTCTCATCTTAATTTATACTCTTAATAGTCTTCTACTTTATTTTTAAGCCAACAATAATAAGAGTTACCATTCCAGCACCGGTATGACCTCGTATGAAGCTTTGTATGGAAGACCTTGTCGTTCTCCTACTTGCTAGGGTAAAGTCGGGAACTAGTGCTACTTAGGACTAAACTTAATTCAAGAGACCATAGAGAAGGTCGCAATCATCTGTAAGAATTTAATAATTTCCAAAGTCACCAAAAGAGCTACACTGATAATCATAAGCGACCCTTAGAGTTTGTAGTGGGAGATCAAGTCTTCCTAAAAGTCTACCCTACAAAGGCAAGATGCAGTTTAGAACTAGAGGGAAGTTGAGCCTTCGTTATGTGGGACATTTTTCGATCATCGAGCATATTGAACCTGTTGCTTACTACTTCACTCTATCCTAGGAGTTCGCGGGTTTGTATGATGTCTTTCATGTCTCGATACTCAAGAGGTACCACCCTGATCCTTATCATGTTATTCCTCATGATGAGGTATAGGTACATGCTGATATGACCTATAAAGAGGTTACTATGAAAATTCTTGGGTGCATTGATAAGGTCTTACATAACAAGACGATTCCCATGGTGAAAGTACATTAGCAGCATCACACTACGGAAGAAGCAACGTGGGAGTTGGAGGATAAAATGAGGAAAATTATCCAAACTTATTCGAGACAAATTTAGGGATCAAGTCTTTTTAAGTGGGAGGGATGTAACACCCTGTCCATCACTGTGCTAAAATGATTTGAAAACCCTATTTATTTGGATATATGACCGTCTTATACTTAATTAATTTACGTTGTTCAATATTTTTCGTGATTCGTAATTTTGATTTATTTTTATTAATTTTTATTTTATTATTTTATATATTTTAAAATTATTCTATTTTGGTTTAAATTAAAAAGAAAATTTAGAAAAAAATCATAAAATGGCAAAACAGGAAAAAACCTGCTCGTGGAAAAAATCTCGCAAAAAGTCAGTTTGCCCATGGGGGTGCTGGGCACTGTGCGCGTGAGCTTGCATGCACAATGGTCGCAGGGTATGCACACAGCACGCACGTCCCATCCGCATGCTAGCGTGTACGTCCCCTCTGTGCGCATAGCACGCACGTCCCATCAGCATGCACGACACGGGGCAGAACCTGCGCGCATGTCCTCTCGTGCGCAGGCGGGCCGTCCACACACCACTTTGTGCACGGACTGCTGCCACACACTGTGCCCGTGCCATCCTGGCAATAGGCTTGCGTGGACAGGCCCTATGTGCCTGAGACCTGCACGCGTGGCGCCTTGTGCGCCTAAGCCCTGCACGCACGGCAGCAGGCCTACAGCGTGCCGACTGGGCACTGCCACCTCGGGTAGTGCACCGCCGCTGATGGAAGAAGTCTTCCTCCTTCGTTTTTCATGCCAAGAATATTTTTCTCCTCTCTCTTTACTGGATTTTGCCACTTGGTGCGAATCCAATGGTTCCGAAATTCTATAAATTATCCTTCCCCTTCCCTTCCTCTCCACACTTCCATTTCTTTTATTTTTAAAGATTTAGATATATATATATATATATATAGTAAATTAGTGAGAGAAGAAGAGAAAGAAATGAAAACAATGAAGAAGAAAATATCGAGGTTTCGGTAAGGAATTTAGTATTATTTTCAACGTCTTAAAAAATATTTTTAAATAAGTAAAGTTAATATGATTGTTATTCTCCCTGTTTTGTATGCCTCTGTGTTCAAATTAATCGAATTGTTCTGATTTTCAAGCATGCTGTGTGAATTACTAACACTTGATGAATTTGCATGTAATATATATAGTATATAACCCTAACAGTAAAAAAAAAAAAAAGAAAAAAAAAAGAAAAAGTAAAATTAAACATGCATGATCCAAAGCGTATCTGTATTGATATTCATATTGTATCAAGTGTCTTGTTAGACTTTTTATCTCTGAAGAGTATCTGTTTCTCTATTATTTGGGCATGATCTATATATATTTGATTTTCTGAACTAACGTACCATTTTCGTATTTAAATAAATGATTTTCATAATGATGAGTTAAGTAAACGA